GGCAACATCTTAGGAAACCTCCCCAGGGACATGATTTAGGTTCATATCTTCAGTGGAACTCGATAGATTTTGTGTTTTCTTTCTCCAAACCCTCTGCAGAATAGTTCTTTATCATTATTATACACTTCTAAAAGTTTTAAGAAAATGGAGTTGCTGCAGTTTTGCGGTGACTGTGAAGCAGAAGAGGTGGCTGCAGGGTCAAAAAACTACGAATGATGACTCACAGTTCGCCCAAAAATACCCTTTAAAGTTGCATAAATGAATATTTAAAATAAATGAGGTTTTTGGCCACTTTGGGGAAGAATTCCACAACTGGCTTGTATTATAGCGAACATGTTAGCAAACAAGTCTCCTTCCGTCGGCTTTTAGCTCTGCTTTGGTCTCCACCTGACACGGATCTTCTTCCACCGTCTTCACCAGCTTTAATTTATCAAAGCTCAAACCGGGTTCTGGAGGTTCGCAGGACACAGCAACTTGGTAAATATGCCATTAAACCAAAACTTGCAGAGCTAAAAGAGACTAAAATGCTGCACTGCATGAATCTTTGTCACTGTCAGTGAGACCTTCAACCTTTCAGTGTCGATCGGTTTACTGTCAGCAGACAGTGGTGTTCAAAGACAGAACAAGATGCTTGTATATGATGATAGTTTACGGCAGTATGTCTTGCAGGTTGCATGGCATGTAATTGGCAGACGTAGGTGACACTGTGATATTGCATCAGCTGCTGCAGACTTTAAATTTTGACTCATAAATTGAAGTGTTTTGGTTGCTTCCGATTTTCATCTTTAATGCAAGTGTCTCGACTGTAAGTAAATGTCTTTTCTTTATATTTCTTTGTGAAGCTCCTCATTCATGTAACAGTGTGAAGGTTGTGCACTTTCTTTGAACACTGGTGGTGAAAAAGCTGATAAGTGGAGTTAACTGTTAGTCTTTTGTCTCCTGAATGTACTTAAATTTTGATGCTTCTGATGATTCATTGTGATGAAGGAACGCCGGACGCTGCCACTGCTAGTCTCAGAAAAAAAAAGCCCCATCAAGCAACACAGCAGTGATGATTATGTAAGAATTCACTTTTATCAACTGTTTAAGTTGCAGCCGACTCAGGATGTTATAGAACTGTTCTGCAGGATGGATGTGAGACGAAGAAAAACAGAATCTAAACCGTGGACATCTCATCAACATAGCTCTTGAACCAGAGTCTGGTTTCAACCCAAAGCGTTGCCTCGTGTATCCGCCCCCCCAACAAACCCACAAATACAGTGTTTGCATTAACAGTCCATCAAAACAACACACGTCCCAGATTACACGACTGACCCAAACAGGTCTTTTTTTTGTTTTTATTTTGGAGTGATTGTAGGTTCAAAGAAAACAAGGAATGTAGGAAACTGGTCTGGAATCATAAAAACAAGGTCATCCGCTGGTCCAGTTTGGTCCTGTTGGGTCGCGTAGCGGTCACCTGACTACAGCGGCGACTCGGCGGTCTGAAGCAGCATCACCGCTAAACAATCTGACAATGTACGAGCTGTCCAAGCTGGAAGGTCAGGGGAAGACGCTAAATTTAAAGCTCGGTTCTCCGTTGTTAGGAGGGTGAAAGTCAGGATTTAGATTGTTGATTGTGTAACTGCACGACGTTAAGGTGCGAAACCGTCGCAACGATGGACAAATCGAACATTCTAGGCATTCATTAAAATGAGGGGGGTAAAAGTTGCACATAAACTGTTGATTGCCTTTTTCACTGCAATATGCAACTTTGGTTTTCAACGACAGCATCTGAAGCCCCTTTCAGACTCGCATGGCATCCTGTTCATCTCGCTCGGTTGGACCTAGTAACCTATTACTAATCGTTTAGTTGCTGTTAGTAATGAATTAACCAATAAGACAAAAGATAGAGGTCGTGCACGTATTCTCATAGTTTAATCATAGCAAGTGGACTTGCTTGAGTTCCTTGAAGACGTTCCACCTCTCATCCAAGAGGCTTCATCAGTTCTGACTGACTAGTTGGGAGTTCCAGATACTTATACCCTGAAGGAGTCACTAACACCTGAGTTTCTGTTTCAACTGGGTTTTTTTGCTCCTCTCCCTCGATATGCGAGTCGTTAGCGCTCCCCCTGCCACAGTGGGGTTTGCTAAGGTCTTTTGTGGCTAGGTGTGGATGTGGTTTCATCTTCCTGCACGGCACAAAATGTGTGGTAGAACAGCTGTAGTACCTGGTTGTTCCACCAGGTGGAGCCTCTTGCTCTTGAATACTATAGAGACTGGAGGAGGTGTCACTCTGACTACAGTTCATGTTGGCAGCACAGAGCATTGTGGGAGTTTAGCTAGCAACGGGCACGAGGTTAACGACCTCCGATCAGAGATGTTGTGTTTTCGGTGTTCTTATACCTCACAACCCTTTTCTGTTGACTTCAGCAGCAGTTTTATTACTTAAATGATGTCCTCTGTGCTACATTTTGTCGTATTGTGTAATTGTTTGCCGCTAATTGGATTCGTTATTGATGAATAAACAAAATATATTCAAATTTAGGGGAAAAACCCCCTTTCCAAATCACAACTTTAGCACAAATATTTGTCCAAAAAGAGTCCTTTTCATTCACTTTGCATTAGCTGTGACGTTATACGGCAAACTGTGTTCAGCCAAGTTTTGTTTTTATGGATATTTCAGAGACTATTGGCTCATATTAACGAGATTTGCTCATAACAATGTCAACAATGTTTAGTTTGTTGCTTCCAGCTGTTTGTAGGAGTTTTTCCTCTCGGTTTATTCAACAGCTGCAGGATCCTGCTGCATGCAGACCAACGGCTGCAGGATGGACCAGCACCATCACAGCTGTTGGGATGTTTTGGTTTGACTGAATTTACTGAATTTTTAATACTGAGGAAATCATAAACACACTCGGTTATTCGTTATTTGTCAAGCTGAGACGATTGTTGTAGTTTAGATTCAGTTTCTAGTTAATTGGTGTAATATTACTTCCAATTATACGTAAATGACAAGAAATACAACTTTAAGGTTGATGAAGCAGTTATAGTATCCTACGTGTGAAAAGGGCTTCAGATGTGTCATGAACCAGTTCCCAAGTTCATAATAAAGTGTTTTGCCAGATTTTGAGCTTTTGATATAACTGACAGCTCAGTCTGTGGATATGAACCGCTGAATTCTGCTTCAGGAAGATTTCCCGAAGAATTCCCGCTGGAGGGCAACAAGCAGCAGGATTTATCTCCTGTAATAAATATTTGGACACGTCTGATAAACCAACACCACTTAGCGTTTTCCATCCTCGGTGCTTAATAACCTCCTGATTACTCGGCTCTCCAAATAAAGACTCCCGATGATTAGCATCTGTGTAAACTATTTATGTTACGAGCGAGAAAAGGGATGTTTGCGGATGTTATCGGCCCGATCTAGAATTTTGGAAAAGGTCTCAATCTGGAAAGTTGTGGCTCGACACAAATTTGACGATATGATCGCTTCTTTTGGTCTCCGCGAACCAGAGCACACGAACCTGGATGCGATGACTGGAACGAGACACGCTGTGCATCGTTCGGAACATCGCGTCAAACCAAATCACCATCAAGCCGAACGGCGGGATCAAAAACAAGAGATCAAAGAATTAAAAAGAAACAAAAGGGATTCATAAAAGGTGGATAACACGATCAGTAAACAGCGACAGTACTTCCCGTTCCCATTACTTTGGATTGAAGACGTGGAAAAAACAACAAGACAGCGTCGTGTCATGATTAAAACACAACAAACCTTTGAAGGCGGGAGCAGCGATGGTGGAAACAAAGGTTCTCTTTAGCTCTATTCACAGCCAGTGCGTGTGTGTTCGCTTTGAAAAGCCTCTCAGGAGCCACGAAGCCAGCGGTGCGTTCGATGTCCTGCACCAGAGCTCGATTCCTAGAGACTCAGGATGGATTTTGTTCCCTATAAATACGCTGCTCTGGACACGCTCTTTGCAAACATCCAGTCCCCTTTCCGACAAGGCACTAAGATTTCATTCAAGTTTATCGTTCCGTAAGTGCTTTATGCATTTTAAACGCCCACATTCGTCTCAATCCCGGAGCTACCTCGGCGAGCCCATCCACAGTAATTCCCCCATCCGTCTCTTCCTACCGCTCGTGCCCAGAGCAATGTGTCATCTGGGCAGCCGGCCAATCAGGCGGCTCCGCCAGCCACGCGGCGACTCATCCAGCCGGCCGTGACGCGACCCCTCGACGAGGTCGGGAGGCGGCGACGGGAGGCTGGACAAGGCGTGACAGCGGACGAACCTGGACAGACGGTGCAGCCGGTCCGAAGCTCACTGCAGCAGCCGTAAAACGAGATTACAGACAAGAATTCCTGAACGAGACGCCGGCGAACGTCTCGGAGATTTATGATTTCAAAGACACGAAGACATGAAACTCGGTCCGACTGCACCGGCGTTAGATAACACTCGCCTCCGAGGAATCTAAGAAGAACGTGGCACAGTGACAAATCTGTGAATGACTCATCGATGAATCCATCGAGGAATGAAAACGAAAAGAAAAAAAAAAAAAGATCTGCAGCTACATTCAAAGCGACTCTGCCTGCAGACCGGGAGAGAGGAGGCTCGACGGGGGTCGCAAGAGGAGAATCAGTCCAGCAGGTGTTTCTCGGTTCTGCCTGGATTCACTCGGGTGTCAGGAGGACTTTGGCTCAGCAGAAGCTTCACCTCGGTCGACCCTTCAGGGAGCTTTTCAGGAAGGACGAAGGTGCAGCGATGCAGGCAGAGACGAGAACAACCCCACCAGGGAGAGAAAGGCGACAGACAAAGACGGAGATGATTCGAAAAAAAGCAATGAAGAGGAATGTCGGAGAAAGAATCAAAAACCAAACGAGGAGGTGAGACTCGCTGCCACAGCATCACTGGACCGTCCATCAGAGCTCAGCTCAGCGCAAAGGAAACCTGGAACTCCTCAGATCTCAGCAGCAGCAGCAGCAGATCCACGTCTGCAGGAGTCCAGTGTCGTCATCGCTCGGATGCTGCAGAGGCCTCAGCTGCTCCCTCAGTTGGTTCTCCGGTTGAAGCGCTCTAGCACGGTGGCGTTGGTTCGCTCGAACAGCCACTGCTGGCTCAGAGACGAAGGGTCGCACGTGTTCATGAAGATCCGCCGCTCACTGGCGTTGCTGTCGATGCAGCTGTTGCTGACCGGGTGGTACAGACTCTTGTCCTGCAGGACGAACAAAGAAAAACGGACGACACCATTTATCAGAGCAGGAAACTTTCTACTTCCTGTGACTAATTGAAAACTAAACCGTCTGCAATAAATACAATCTGCAAAAAAAAAAATAATTTAAAAGTCGAGGCTCTTGGTTGCAGTTGAGTCACTCGTGTTTTCTGCAGGACAAACCTTCAGCGACTTTCAGGCTGAACTGCAGGAAGTGTTTGAACACAATAAAATATCTAGATACTGTGAAGAGCTAGAATTTTTCCCTCAGCGCTGGTAACATCTGTGGACACCTGGGAAACGTTGTACAAGTTAGTTCCTGTGATTTATTTTAAAAATATTTATAAATAATCAATCAACACAACCTTCACTCCCTTGTGTGAAAAATTACTAAATTAGTAAAATTCCTCTCCAAAGATAAAGATTTCCTTGTTGACAGTTTGAGCCATAATGTTACAACACAGGAAAGATCAGCATGTGCAGAAACTAGATGATGATCTTCATTATTGCACCTTGAAGTCGCCCTTTAATACACTATTTACCGACACTGTGAGGTCTTCACTGAATCACATTTTATTGAATACAAATTACACATTAGTTTATTGGAGCTGGATGTTTTTTCAAACTGCAACGACCACCTTGGCTCTTAATCTACAGAACATATTGAACCTCTTACATTTAAACTGAAGAACAAGTGATCACACATTTGTTCCTCAATCAGTGGAATCAGGAGTGTCTTTTGAAGACTCTAATCACAATCTTCAAATCTAATCTTTCAGGGTTGGTGTCTCAATCATATCTAATCTAACCACCCAGGTGAAACTACAGAGCTTCAAGAACAACATTCTTCTTGTCATGTGAGATTCAGGTCAAATTTGTCAAGAATTACAATTTTTTGTGTGACATGCGGTTCTGTTGGGAAAAATCTGAACTTGAAATCTCACTTTATTTATTTTTTTATTTAAAAAATTTGTAAAAAATAACCTAAAAACTATTCTTCGCTCCTTCGTGCAACAGCGACGCCATAATTGACTCAGTCACATGACACATTTTTCACTGAATCAAAGCAATTTAGAGACTCGTGAAGCCTCTCGGACGTTGTTTTGAGCAGCAGCTTCTTTAGTTTTTTGCACTGAATGTGATAAATAAAGCTGAAATGCCTCCGTTCAGCGCCGTACCTTCCTGTAGCGCCACAGCTGGTTTCCTCTCATGCCGTGGCAGTCGTACAGCGTCACCGGGCTGCTGTGGGAGACGGCGTCGAAGCAGACCTTCTTGGTGTGCATGGGGTCGCCCACCCGGATGTCCTCCCTCCAGCCGAACGTGAACACCTGCAGGCAGGGAAAGGCCACCGTTAAAACGTCAACGTCTACACCTGAAGAAGAAAGACTTCCTCAACGACGACTTGAGTTGAACCTTCAGGTTAAAGCAAAACACGACGGGCAGATTTGGTCTTTAAAAGCCAGTTTTAATTACAGGCATGAACTCATTTTGCTTTTGCAAATTCTGCATTTGTGTTCTTTTTTCTTTTAAAGTAAAAATCTGAAATCAGGAGCAAAACCTTTCTGTAATTTGACTTTTATACTTCTTCTCCAGTTTTGACTTTCACACCTCGAACGGCAAAATTAAAGCTCTGTCACACATTTTCCATTTAAAAAAAAAAACAAAGTGGAAGCATTTTGAAAGTTCCTCTGACTGACTTGAGAATTTGTTGCAGCTTTTGCCTTCATTCCTGTTAAAATCAGTCCATTAAACCAGGGCTTCCCAAAGTAGGGATCACGACCCCCCAGAGGTCCCGAGGCCCCTAGCAGGGGTTGCGAAATGATTTTCAGAATCCTCTGATGTAACCCTTACAGTGATGACAACAGGTTAACGACAGTATCATTTGGAGGTGACACTTGACACTTTGCAGCGCCACACTAAACATCACATAAGCCTCGGTCACAACTGGACACATGACTTTTAGGATTGTACTACCACTACGAATTTTGGGTCCCGTGGAAGTCGTACAGGTAGAGGAAAGGTTGCAAGGCTCCGTCAAAAATGTGTAAGACATGATCAAACCTGCCTTGTGAGTTGCTGCCTTGCACAAAATAGATCCGGGACGGTACAAATTGATTTCACGACAAAAGTTAAGACTTTATAACTAATGGTGATGAAAATAAACAGGAATTCATATTTTGTGTAGCACACACACAGATCCTGACAACTTGGCGGTGACAGCTCGCCTGCAGTGTCACTGTCAGCCCCGGTACTGACTTCCAGCTGATACCGGCCAGCAGCATCGCCAGTGAGCTGACCCACTCCTCCAATGGAGACACGTACTAGCTGCAACACTGATATGTATATATATATTCGGTAATGATTACCTCTTAAAAACATTAACAATATGTCCCAATACAGTGTGAGATCTGCGCATCATCAAAACATATATAAGGAGCAGTATGGGACAAGAAAGACTCCGTTGTCAGCAACTTTGCTGAGCAGAAGCCCTGAAGGATGAACTTCTAATGGGTGAGTAGAGTTCAGTGTTGATTACGCATTGGGATCAGTGATTTGTGAACTGAGTTATCACGTCTGGAATGTAAGAAAATGCTGCTTGTATTCTGTGTGTGTGAAAACATTTGGCAGCTGTGCCATTGATGATGAACAATGTGTAATACAAAGTGTGATCAGATGCGGTGTTTTCATCCATTCATACTGAGGCAGTGACAGAAGAAACGTTTCTTGCACTGAGACATGCAGCCACCAGGTAGCTCAGCTGTACATCTCATTAGATTATGGTATATCCATGATTTGTTTGAAGCAAAAATTTGCACATCTCACTCGCAAACTCGTTGCAGGGGAGCAAGTTACACTTACTGTGTCGCTGTTCGCAGAGAATTCATAGAATCTTTTTGACATGTCAAAGATCCTGCCTATTTGCTTACAGGCTGTCTGCGACCTCGAAATTTCACAAGACGGACTTTATATTTTGGATGCAGACAGGCCGTAGGAGCTCGTACGGCCGGTTGTGACTGAGGCTTAAAATCATATCATGGCTGTCAGGCTGTTCTGTTCCTTTTTGTTGTCGTTTTGTTTGGATATACCTATCAGTGTGTGCGTTGGTGTGCACGTTTTGTTATGTTTCCGTCACCTCCAGGGACAGTGGGGGGGTCGCCAGTCTCAGGAGCCATTATTTTGGGGGTCGCGGGCTTTGAGAACCCCTGCATTAAACGATCGTCCCTGTGGATAACAAACACATTTAATAAACCTACATCTTGACTTGCGTGGGTTGGTGATTATTTAATAGTTAAACCTGCGACAGATTTTTACAATTTTATCATTATTTTTGCACAACATTTATTTGAAATTGTGCATTGGGGAATTTAGGGTCAATTAATCCTTTAAAAAAAACAAAAACAAAAAAACTCCACTCGCTCTTTCGCTGCTAAACGCTTCACTTGCTAACTTTGTTGTCGTTCCATTTATTCTTACCTGTCGCATGCATGAAGTTGTGGTGATGCAACAGGTAAGTAAACACGGAAAATCTCAATAAATTCTAAAGTGAGGTCTTAAACCTGCATTCTTTCTAACAGCCAGCAGGGGGCGATGGTGGCCGTGTATCAGTCAATGAGAAAATGATCCAAAGTCTCGCTGGATCTGCTGCGTCAGTAAACATATTCCTGACGAGTTTATGATCTCAATCAGTAGTTTGAAGCCTCCTTCAGTACAATGTGGTGTTAGTTTTGTAAATTTTAGAAGCATTTAGAAGAAAACAGACGATAAACACGGCATATTTTAGGGCGAGACTCACGTGAAAATGTCCAGTTTCCAAAAACTGAGATGCCAAACATACAACACGTGTGACTTTTCAGTGACAGTCAACAGCTTCTGTAGCAACTGATCACGCTTTCATGACGCTAATTGATCTCACATCTGCGTTTAAAAAAAATAACGACAAACTCAATAATAAGAGTTGATAAAAGCTGCTGTTTAAATCACAATCAGGCATCACTGACCACCAAAATTAACTTCTCAACTGAACCGACCCTAAAGTTGAGCTGGTTTTTCTGCTGGCTTCGACACTGTTTAAAAAAAACACAAAAAAACCCAACTCTGGCGTGTGATCTTCCTGTAATCTGAAAACACAAATAAGCAAATAAATCTCTCCGGCACTTTGCGAGTGACTCGTCTCGCAACAGAATCAAAAAGCCCGACGAGGACAGCTGCCAGAGGGCCTCCTGTGATTTGCGGCGAATCCATTTCTCGCTGGCTCCAAATGCAAATCGCAACTGTGACACAAATTAAACTACAATGCATCTTCAGATTAAAGCAATTAAACTGTCAGAGCTGCGAGGCGCCGCGGAAACAAAGGGGGACATTCAATCCATTAAGGTTGTATTATGAGCTCGGTTTAAAGATCTCTGGCGTGACAAACGCAGTCCTTTAGAACAATGGAGGAGCTAATGAAGCCTCGGCGCCGTTCGTGTGACACGTTTATATCTGAAACACAAAGACTAAAGAGGCAACGTGTAAACAACGACTTCAGGAGAAACCCTCGTGAAAATCTGCATCACAGCCAAAAAAAAAAAGTTTGGAGAAAGTTGGATTATGAGACTCTGAAGGTTTGCTTTAGACCATTTCATCTCTTGTGGGGTTTGACCAGATCTCTGTAGTTCCTGTTTAAGAAATTTGACCCGTATTGACATTTGACAGCAGTAAAAATATCGTAAACGTCGTCGTTTTAGCCTGAAATTTGATGACTTTTCCTAAAGCGTTGTACTTTTGTACACATTTTTGTACACCGAGGCTGTTTCGGGTCAAATCAAGGGACTCTTGAAACTGTGAAACATGTTTAGTGTGTATTGTTTGTTGGCTATTTAGCAATTTTAAATAGATCTGTAGTTTAAAATCTGGTATAGACACTTAGTATGAGGGACTTCTTGTCTAAACTGAGCCGGACCACACTGTGAAGGCATAAAACATGACCAGTATGTCGGGGTCAGGCTGCGTTTCTACCCAAAGCATCCGGATATAAAGTCCTAAAAAACGTTGTTCAGGGAACTATCAAGGTTTTTTCACACTACAAGTTGTCCACGTCAGTCCAAGAACCTGCACATTAATCTGCAAAGTATTAAGGAAGCCATTTTTGAGCATCTTTTTTTAACTCCAGCAGGCAGCACAGAAGACTTTAGGACGGCGTAGGCCATCGACGAGTCAAGTCGGTTAATAAAGACACATTTAAAACAACCAAATGAAACAGGGACACATAAATGGCAGTGAAACCCGATGACGAGGCAACGAATCTGGATAAAAACACGATAAAATATTGGAAAATAAAAGAGACGTGACTAAAACCAGACAGGTGGTCGCTGTTGAAGTAGAACCGATTAAACAAAAAAAGAGAAATGGAAGGTTGGATGACTCGACTCAAACCAAAGAAATACATTTAACAGAAAGTCGACTTCTACTTACATCTTTACCAATGATGAAACCACATCCACACCTAGCCACAACAGACCTTAACGAACCCCATTGTGGCAGGGGGAGCACTAACGACTCACATAACGAGGGGGAGGAGAAACAAACCCCCAATGAAACCAAAACTCAGGTGTTAATGTCTCCTTAAAGATATAAGTATGTGGAACTCCCAACTAGTCAGTCAGAACTGATGAATCCTCTTGGATCAGAGGTGGAACGTCTTCAAGGAACTCAAGCAAGTCCAGTTGCTACGATGAATCTACGAGAATAACCATGACCTGGATGACTGAGAATCCTCACAGACATCTTAACTAATCTGTTGTAATAAAACAAAAGCTCCAAAATAAAAGCCTACTGGTTGTTTCAAGCCCAACAAAAGTCCCCGAAGAAACATCTCCTAAAGCACTTCGCCACTTCGATCGACAGTTTAAAAACCACCAGACACACAACAGCCGCCACCGAATGACGATTTAAAAGCGCCTTTAAACGCAGGAAGCGGTTTGATTGGAGAACACAGCTGGGTTCTGGTCCATTAGCACCAATTAGCACGTACGGATTTGTGCACAAACCCCCCCCAAAAAGATCAAGATGTCAAGAAAAGAGGCAGATCTTCTGCAGAGACGTTTCTAAATTCTGAAAAGGTCTTACTAAAGCTTCAGATCTCAGAAGACACTAAAGCATCTGGTTCCTCAGATGAAGATATTGGATCATTTAAAACCTTAGAGACCAATAATAAGATCACAAAATCCATCCTGAACCTGACAGGAAGTCTGTGGAAGGACGCTCCAACCAAATGGTCATAAAAGCGTTAATAATTTTTACATTTCTATGTTTTTTACTGTATTTACAGTGATTTATTTTTTTTTACTAAATCTAAAGTCTGAGATATAAAGATCAACATTATCTTTAAATGTTGGCAGTAAAAGTACAAACTCGTAGAAACACTTACGTCTTAAGTTAAATTACCGGTTGAGGAGGCAGGTTTGTGAAGCAAGAAAATAAAACAGACGTGTGCTGAAGTTTAAAACCATGAATGGGAAGTGAGGAAGAGTCCAGCGTTTGCAGATTTGTGGTGAAACATCGGAAAATGTGTCTTGTTTTTGCAAGAATCTGGTTCTGCAAAGTTCCACAATCACAGAATAATCTGTGATCTAATAAACATGTCGAAACAAAACACTTTCCAGCCCACAACCTGCATTCTGTGTCTTCTGAGGATGCAACAGCTGCAACATGCATCCTAAAGGCTCCCACATGAGGACGTTTGTGTACATTTTCTGGCTGGTGTGGACGTCGGCAGCGTGTTTGCTCTCCGGGTTGCACAGATTTTCTTTCTTTCCGCCCACAGAAGGTCTTTGTCAGACGCGCTGAGCTTGTTCTGCCCACAAGTTTGTTCTTTCTGCTGCACTTTTCTCCCTTTAAACTGATGAATGTATCATCAGTGAGCAACATTTTACAGCCTCAGCGTCGCTCGGCACATCCACAAAACTCAAACTTCTCTGTACGTTAAGTCGCAGATCTCTGACGAGAAACCACAAATGTCCTTTATTTAAAGGTTTAGTGATAGAATAAGAAAGAATCTCCTGTTTTTCTCTGGACACAAGATTTAAGCCACAAATACAAACAGTTTGTAATATTTCATGTGTCCTTGTCTCCACGTTTGTTCATTTTTGGGAATCCTGAAGGCTGTTTTTGCAAAATAAGGATCTTCTCTGTTCAGTCCGACCGAGAAAAACACACCTGAAGCAGAATTCATTTGGTTTAAACCAAAAACACTCAATTCCAAAAGCACCAGAGGACATTAAAACCAGTCCAGAACAAACTGGACGATAATCAGAGCTGATCTGACGCCGTGAATGGAGGGAAAATGCCAACGTTGTTCAGTTTTGATGCACGTTTTTGAGCTTCACCTTAGAAAAAGTTGCTGGAAATGGCAAAACTGAAAAAACAAATCCTTAATTTATGAATAGTTTTTTTTTCTTCGAAAAAGAAAAGAAACTGACTTATTATTCACCAACCAACAGTCGGAGGCGCCGCTTTGGTTTTTGTGTCTTTTCATTTTCAGTTTTTTTCTACTTTTTTCTGCATTTTATTTGTTAATCAAAGTAGAAAACTACGTTTGGCCTCGGACTTTGTTTCACGTTTTTGAAACGTTCTGAGAAAGTTTAACAGCTGGAACATCCGATACTGAGATCTGAACTAAAATAATATTACTTTTCTCACTTGCTTGTGTAAAATCAGTTTCGGCATCATGTGTAAAAGTTCATTTTTCAGGTGTGATTTTACAGCATTACTTCACTTAACTGTTCTAGTCTTATTTTTGTTTATTTAATAATTTACTGACTTCTTTCTCGTTGCTTTTTTGTGTTTGTGTCTTTTCACTTTTCTTCAGTTCCGCATCGTGTGTAATATTTCTAATGTTGTCTCATTTTTCAGGTGCAATATTGTATTTTCATGTGTGTTACTACTTCAGTGTCATTGCCAGCATTCATTGTCACTGCAGTATCTGGTTCTTGTTTTATTTTGAGCATTATATCTTATTGTTTTTCTGCTTTATAGACGCTGCATTTCTTATTTTATGTCAATTAGTTTTTTTTCTGAGCACTACAGCTTCCTTCAGACCGATCCAGTCTCATTCTCCTTCTGTTGCTGCCATAAAGGCGTCGTGTCCTCGGCTCTACCTGCCGCCTGTTTGCTCACCTGTCCGTGGCTCCAGCTCACGTCTCCTCGTCCCTTCACGCAGCTCTCCAGGCGGATCGGGCTCCCGGATAAAAAGTGTTTGCTCTCCATGCACATGCCGCTGCCTGCGTTACGGATCTGCAAAGCAAACACGCGTCAGAATCACAGGAAAGATCCCTGCTCGGTTTATTTGCTCTCAGGCCACATTTGCAGACAAAAATCTGCTACAACAGATAAAGCTACTAGAACCAAACATTTTTTTTGACAGTTTCTTTACATATTTTAGAGGAAACTGTTGCAAACGATCCTATTGTTTTGGTCTTCCATACGACAACACTGGGGGAAAAAATGTCGTACGAAACCAATAAGAAAAAAAAAACAGATTTAGGTTCTGGTTTCCAAGTCAACCTGTTAAACTACATTTAAAAAGATCTCATCCGTCCTGATCCACCGTCTCATTTGGTGGTTAATACGTATATTTTTAGTAAATTGTTATTATCATTTTTGGCAAATTTTACAACAAGACATGCAGAATAAAGTGCTTTTTGTTTTTGCACTTTTTGACTAATAAATAGTGCCACCTTTGCCAATTTCTGTAAATTTCCAACAAAAGTTACACCAGAAAGCTGAAAATGTGACAGTTCTTTTGGTTTTTCCACTGTCTGACTAATAAACGTCGCCATTTTGGTGATTTCTAAAAACAATAACGTGTCTTTCAAACCTGCCGGTGGGTTTTGGGGTTCAATAGATCAAACAATCCTTCACTTGATTCACACAAACCATTTATTTTGTGAAGTTGTAAAACAATAAATGTAGAATTAAGTGCTTTTGATGAAATATCCCAATTTTTAGCCTGGACTTGGTTGTTTTTTTTCCCAACAAACGTTACACTAGAAAGCTGAAAATCGACAATTCTTTCTGTTGTTTTTGTCTTTGTGACTGATAAATGGCACCACTTTGGTGATTCATAAAAAAAAACAACGTTCACTATGAACAGGGATTTTGTTGAAATGTCACAGTTTCAAGATCAGATTTGCTTTTCTGACAGAATGACAGGTCCCAGAAGACGAGCTCGAAAAGCTGCAAATCCAGCAAATGTCTCTGATATTTACAAAACCCTCTGAACCCCAAAACCCATCAGCAGGTCAGAAAATCGTGAGCTGACCGTACCTCTCCCCAGGCGGCGGCCGGAGGCTCCACCGGCGGGTAGTGTTTGGGCAGATCCCAGGCCACCTCGCTCATGAACCACTTGAAGCTCTTGCAGTTGAGCTGGTTCCTCAGCTCCTTCTGCACCGTCATGTCTCCGGCCGACAGGTGGCGGTACTCGGGTCGGCGCTGGTAGATGTACTCGGCGTACTCGTCCATCCAAACCTCCGCCACGCGCTTCAGGTTCTGAAATCCGAATAAAGGCACAGTTTAGTCACACTTTTATACCACAGGTCAAGTGTTTAACTGAGAACCAATAACGTTTAGTGACCAATAAAGTAAGTTTCCACATCTACAAACTGCAGCAGCTGATCCATCAAAGATACAGTGACGATATTCCTGCGACTAGATTAACTGACGTCATTTGGGCAGCAAATGGTTCCGAATCGTGTGCCGTTGGGTTGCAGAACTGTTGATACCATTTAGTCGGAGGTTGGAGGTCATTAACCTCCCCAGAGTCTCTGTCATGGTCCCGTTGCTGCTAAACTCCCACAATGCTCTCTGCTGCCAACATGAACTGTAGTCTGAGTGACGTCTCCTCTGGTTCTCTACAAGATTAAACTGTAAGAGGCTCCACCTGGTGGAACAACCAGGTACTACAGCTGATCTACGATGCAGCTTCTATAACACATGTAGAGAATAGAGGTTTTCTGCGTCTTTTAGAAGAACCTTTAGGAACACCTTGGATGCAGAAATAATTTTTTCTTAATGCTTTGCAGCGCTTTTTATTCGTCACACTGGATTGATTTTAATAACTTCAATGTACAGGAAGTGCACATTATTCAGGAACATGGTGTCGGATGGAACTTGGTTTTGCAGAGACTAAATATTTAATGACTCAGTACATAAGTAAATAAAACTTTATCATGACATCTCCAGGTTTTACAAACTACTAAAGAAAACTGTGCTCACCAGCAAATTTTTTATTTAGCTTAAAGGAGAGCACAATGAAGGAAACCAGCGAAGCCTGCGGCCATAAAACCAAGACGTGATTCACTACTCTGAGCTGAGACAATCTGGAGAGTTGGAATCAGGTTTGTTGCACACAAATCATAAAATATATACAGAGAGAGTCTCGAAAAAAATAAAATATGAAGTCATAAAAAACACTGATAATATAAAAATGTGTACAGATTAAGGTGGTTTTTCATGAGGATGAGTTGACAAGTTGGGCTCCAGTTTTATCACACAGGTTCGTAAAGGAGAGCACAATTTGTGGAAGGACGCTGGGGATGCAACATTTGAATAATCTCTTAATTAACTAATCAAGTATTGATTGATGCTGCTGCTGATAATTGATAACCCAAACCAAGCACAGTTTTTCTTGTGTTGATGTTGCTGTTTTAAGTGATGGACACATGGTTTAGGCTGCAAAGTCGACTCTTTTCCATTTCTGTCTGGAGCCGGGTGGAGGTTGGCCGTCACGCCTGCTAGACTGCTAGCTCGGAAATGACAGCAGGTCTCTCCGGCAATTCCTTTACATCGGAAATGCAAATGTAGATATCCTTCGGAGCTTGAAGAAGCCGACGCTGGAGGCTCGATAAGGTAACTACCAGCAGTAGTCAGTTTGCACCTGACTATCAGCAGTTAGCACGTTAGCACGACCAGCTAACTCGCCAAAACAGGACAGACTGCAAGCCAAGTTCGTGTAACTTCTCTGGAGAGCTTCTTAGAGAGGCGGGAGAGACGAGGTGTTCTTGGCTGATAGCAGTGACTTCTCAGTCTGCAGACAGTCAGAGCTCAAGTTTTTTTAAAGGTTAAATTGCCGCAGCAAGTCGCGCCAGCGTTCAGCTCCAGCGTCCCACAAGTCTTCGTCAAGTCTTAAACACGTGAGCTCTGGTCAGAGGTCATTAGGGGTCACTTACATCATCGTCATGGAGCCTGTCGCCAGCTAAACCCCCACAATGCTCTCTGCTTGGAGGTGGAGTTGGCAAGCTTAATTTTAGTTCAATCTATTTAATCCAACTCTCAGCTGATGATAACTTAATTTCCAGTATTGTACGTTGGGATGCTGCAATACACAGCAAGTTGCCTCCAGCTCTCTGAAAAGAAGAATGACTGAAGCGAGCGTTAGTGAACAGGTGTTTTAAAGCGATTGTGCTCTGTCTGTTATTTTTTCTGTGTAAATGTCAAAAAGGAAAATCTTCTGTCGGAGGATAAAATCCACTTGAAAGCCCAACAGTCGAGCGGTTTGTTAGCAGATGTCTGCGTTTCTGGGCATCATGTCTTCATTGAAACACAGACTAAGCCTTCATTTGTACATCCTGCCATCCTCCATGTTTTGATTGATTTGACACGACAAAATGATCAAAAGGCGGCGAGCAGAAAGGAGGCCAGTCATCATACGAGACCTGTCATCGCTTCCCGGGAGGCAACTGATGAAAACGTAGCAGCAACTCGTCTGCAGTCATGAAAGCCGACGCGACGCCGAGCCGAAGTTAATTTACAGGGCGGCTTCGTAAAAGTGCAAAAACGTTTCTGTTGCTTTCCCTTTGTCTCTTTTTCATATATTTGCTCTCAGGAAGCTGCCTAATTAGGTCTCTCATGACTTCATACGTGCCTCGTGAAACCCTGAAAGAACACACGGAGAACGGTTCTGTTGAAACTCGTGGTGCTCTACTGTAAGTGGAGTCCCACAATAAGGAAATGTAAATAAAATATGGCCCTTATAGGTTTTGCTGTCTGTTGATGCAAACCATAAAACTACAATAAAACATCGTACATAACTCAACGATGAGCAACTAAAATTACTGCTTATTTTTTACCCCCTAAGATAATTATTTTGCATCTTTTATTTAAAAATTCTGCAAAAATAAACAACAAGTAGATCTTTGGAGCAACTTAAAAACTGTCAGTGAGTCAAATGCAACCAACAAAAACAGCAAAAAATCAGGTCGCATATGGCTGAACTGCAGGCTGCGTTTAAACGAAGTCGTTAGAAAGTCTGAAAATAAATGAATGAGGTGAATAGTTATATTTCAATAGTATGTAGAGCCACCGTTCCATCTTTTCCCACTGTTGGTAATATGTAAAAAAATGTTTTTTGTAAAATAGTTAAAGAAATGTGACTTTCATTTCTTCTTTTTTATGATTTCTATCATGTTAACAGACTTCACAGATTTCTGATTTTGTCCTTGTTCGTGGTTGTTCTGTTTTCAAAGAGCTGCAGGACTTTATATGGCAGAGAAAAATGTGAAAGGAGCAAAGAAACTGCTTAGATTTCAGAAGTTTAAATAAACGCATTAACCGCCCAATGGAGATGCATTCTTAGAGACGCCGTCGCACTCGGGGTTCAGGAGGTCGGATAAGCAAGTGAAATATTTCATACAGTAACTGCAGCACAGACAAGTTCCTCAGTGAGTTCTTTAAGGTGTCTTCAGCAGAGATTTACACCTCAGTAACCGGATATCCACCCGACTGCAGCCTTTGAGGTGTTCGGGGCCAAAAAGCAGCGTCTGAGGCTCAAGTCTGGGAATACTGATGGCAGCAGCCTCGGAGGTGCGGATGGTGAAATGAATGCAGCGAGTCTCCCAGGAAAGAATAAACACAAATCCTGCAGCCCTCCAAGGTACAGATGTAGTGGGAAAAAAAAGCTGGCAGCCACACGCAGCCTCCCTGCAGAAACAGCTCATCGCCTGCAGCCAAACTCCGGCTCTGAGCTCTCTGGGTGAAGTGGAGTTCAGCTTCTATCTGCCTGCGAGTCGACCGGACTCGGAGGGGGTTTCAGGGGTTGGAGGTTGGGATCCTCCGCTGCACACAAACTCTGTGAATGTGTCTGGCGGCCCTTTTGTTCTCAGTATCTGTACCTGCTTTTTTCTTTTTTGGTGCACAAGTAAAATCCCCTCTGCGCATAAAGTGAAAGGAAGAATGTTTTGTACACCATGAAGTGACGTGAAACGCATCCACATTCAACAAGCGAAGCCGCATTGGGGGGGGATAAAGAAAAAGACTTTAACTCTCACCTCAGGCAAAGAGTCACCGACCGTGACCGAAGCATCTCCGGGTGAACCGTAACTAAATCCTGACCAAACTCTTTATTGACTTTCCTTAAAAGAGGACTCCAGCAAGTTTGTGCTCCATTTCCAAAACCGGCAGAAGACAAGTTTGAGAAAAAAAAGGAGTCAGAATCAGTGGAGTGCAAAGATTTTGACTTTTAGGATTCTGTCAGATGCGACCGACTCGTACCCTGCGTGAACTTGAGGCTTAAAAGTGCTGCAGTGAGGTTCGGAATAACAACTGTGGAAGCTAATTCATGCTTTCTGCAGCAACGTGGCTGCAGCAGGACACAAATATCGTCATCTACACGAGTCTGCAAGCGTCTGTATCAACACCTCTGGAAACATCTTGGAGAACCACATGGACTGTTTGACTGAGCTACGGTGCTGAAAATAAAAACAATACACGAGAAACCATGGGGGCTGCAAGGTGGCGCAGTTGGTTAGCACTGTTGCCTCGCAGCAAGAAGGTTGCCGGTTCGCGTCCCAGTGGGGGCACCGGAATCTTTCTGCGTGGAGTTTGCATGTTCTCCCCGTGCAGCGTGGGTTCTCTCCGGGTTCTCCGGCTTCCTCCCACAAGGTCCAAAAACATGTTGAGGTTAATTGGTGATTCTAAATTGTCCGTAGGTGTGAATGTGAGTGTGCTTGGTTGTTTGTCTCTCAGTGTGGCCCTGTGATAGACTGGTGACCTGTCCAGGGTGTCCCCTGCCTTCGCCCTAAGTCGGCTGGGATAGACTCCAGCCCCCCCGCGACCCTAATGAGGATTAAGTGGTGTATAGAGGATGGATGGATGGATGGATGGATGGAACAGGCGATGGTTGCGTCTTTGTTGTTTGTCTGCTGCAACATTTCCGCATTCATTCGGCACAGAGAATCCTGTACTCAGAAACTTCTGTACAAACAGGTGGACTGTTTTAGGAGAGTTGTAATTGAAGTAGCTGCTGCCGAGCTGTTTTGATTTGTACATGCTTTCCATCGACGGAACACTGTATTAAGCTCGATGCCAGTTTACTGAGCGCCAAACACATCAGGAATAGTTAAACTGACACAGTGCGACAGTAAAACCTGTAACCAGCTGCTATATCCTGCAGAAAGTGCAAAGTCAGAGCTTTTCAGAGACATCCACAGGAGCCCTGAGTGTTCTTCTGAGTTCGATGGGAGGAACCAGATCGACGCTACATTACAGCTCCATCAGTCCTGTCAGATCCCGCGGTTGCCGCGTCGTGAACGCCTGGAAGATGTCTGAACCTCAAAGTGTCGTTTTCATGATATTTTTCATGCAAGCAAACAGAAAACAGCATCCACGCCTCTTCTTCCTTCTCCTCTGTTCGGTCGGCAAACAACAGAAGCTTTCTGCAGAGATCTCCTTCCCCATACTCTGCATCTGCTCCCAAACTTTTCTCAAAAAAGCGCTTTTCTGCTGCACCGCTTCTGTTGGCTGATGCGCCTTTAAAACATGCTCAAAACAAGTTCTTCACATGGTTTTCTCTCTGAAAACAGATTTAAATGAAGTACACACCCTCCTCTGTTTGTCTATTTTTATGTTTTTGCAGCAAAAGCTCTGGTTCCTGTACCATCAGCGCAGCTAGAACGCATATTCAACAGCAGGTCAGTGAGTTCATGGCTCAATAAGCTAATTATGTCAATAATAACTGCATTTTGAACAAACATCTAGAGCTATGTTGACTGCAGCTCCTTCTTAATACGAAACAGCTTCACCAGTCGTCCAGTCACATGAAGCAAATCAGCAACAGAAAGGCCTGTTTTTACGTCTGATTTGTTTTGAGCTACTATGCAGAGAAAGACACTCGGGACAGAGCAGCCTGCGGTACAGTAAGTGTTTGTGAATTGTTAAAGCTGCTGCCTGTTTGATATCAGCATTCAATGCAGCCTCACTGAGGGGCTAATGGTCAGAGCGAGGAGGCAAAAACAGAGGCCAAGAGGTTTAATTACATATTCAGCTGAGCCAAACAGAGCCAGGTGTCAGACCGAGGCTGACTCATGCATAATTCAGCTACGGGCCAGATGAGCATTTTTTAACACTTCTTATGCTGTGGTCAAGTGTTAAAGCTCCTGTGGAAAAACAGAAATGCGAGCTAATTATTGGGGAACTGTAAGTTGTGACACATTTTCAGAGCTGAAAGGACACGAGAGGTGATGAAAGACTGCTACTGCGGAGTCCGGTTCAGCGCTTATCTCTGGGGTTTTATCTGCAGGTTTTGATGCTCGATGCACTAAATACATTTCGGCTGGTGTTGAGGTTTGACAGACAGTTCCAGGTTAGTGTTATCTCCCACTGAAGCTACTGCAATCATCGGGTTGTGCAGATGCAACTGTCGTGACTCGCTGCAGAAACAAGCAAATTTTAATGTCTGCTTCGAGTAGTTTCAGGCGGCTTTCCACGTTTCCTTTTCCAAAATGCTCTCCGCTGCAGGAATCAACAGCTACATGCAACACTTCCATTGTGCAAAAAAAAAAAGACAAGCCAGCTTGATTCTTTTGGCGAATAGTTGTAAAGATTTTCTGTCCATCAGGGACTTTCTTCATATTTGCCTGCTGGTTATTGAAAATGGTTTAATTTTCCAAACATGGTGGACTGTCTTCAGCGAGCTGACGAGGGTAGATGAAGACAGATGATTAGAAAAAGTCGTGTTTTTGGTAAAGATAATGAAAGAGTGGGTGAAAACCTGACAGTCGAGGGATACAGACAGTAAAATAGCTGCTGACTTTTATTCTGTTGTTGATCTCGAAAAGTATTTGTGAACAAGACAGATTTCCTGCAAACATTTCAAGACCGACTGATGTGGACGAAAGACAAAATGTGACATCTGTTGAATAAAGTTCTGCATCAAAACATTCACAATCACATTTAATGAGTCCAGGGCCAGGCAGGCTTCATCATGCTGACGTTAAAACGACGTTGGTCTCTTGTATCGCAAAGCTGTCTTTTATTGGTTTTTGTTTGCGTTTTCTTTTTCCAGGAAGTAGCCGCTGTTGGTTGTAGTGAGTTTAGAGAAACACAAACAAGCCAAAGTGTTAAATAGCAGAATGATGTTGCGGTGTAGAAGACTGTTCTGTATTGTACTGTCTGGACTGTGGGGCACTTGTGTCACTGCCTGTGTCCACCATGTGGCGCTACAGAACACCCACTATTTGCTGTGTATCAGGTGTAAAACTCAGCTTTCATTTAAATGGAAAGGTGTTTGTCCTTCTGCTTCCTGTAGGTGGTGCTATGACTCCTAAACGTGACATTTGGGGCGGCTAGAACGATGAACATTCGAAATCGACCTCGAAATTATGTTTTACGCCACCTCACCACAGTTCATCAAAATAACACTTACTCCATTAGCAGGCGGCAAATACACAAGAACTTTCCTTTTCTTTCTTTCTTTCTTGTGAAAAATTTACTTTTTTTT